ATAATAAAACAGTATCCCAGTTAAGTCTTTCATCTTTCAGAATGTACACTAAGCATACCAAAAGCCTAATTCCTGGCATTTCATGTATAAAAATGAAATAAACTCAAGCTGTTCAATTGCAAGTTTGGATTCCTGTAGGTAAATTTGTATTGATGTGTTACATTTTCTCTCACCCTTCCTCTAAGGACCTCAGGGTGGCATATATGGTTCCATCCTTCCCCTTTTATCAACAATCCTGGTTAGGGTAAGAACGTGGAAGTGACCCAATATCATGCAGAGAGTTACGTTGCTGTGGGAGTATATGAGCTTGGGTTTCCCTGTCTCCAGCACTTTTACTACTAGCCCATACTGAATTGCAAACATCAACCCTTAGTAGGATCATAAATCTGCAATAATTTGTGTTTTTCCCAGAGTAAAAGAAGAGGGCCATCCTATGGGTTTTTAACCTATTGCTGCTCCTCAGTTTGGAGAGCAGTGCTAGAATGGAGATTCATCTAGTAGATGAATTATGAAATTATTAATTCTCTGGAAATAAATGGCTGTTGGTGTACACTTACATGTTCAATGCTCATGGCTTCTGCAGAGGGAATTCTTGACCCACTAACCTGGGTTTGGTTTGGTTTTCTGGAGGAGGTCACTATGTGTGTAGAAGTGATATATAGAACATTTTTGTTACATTTTTCAGATACCTTTTGACAATAGCCGCTAAGAAAATGTACCTGTTACGATTCCTCTTATGGATTGGTTACTAGTTAAAAGAGGAGGACCATTAACTGACAGCTTTTACAGTTGAAAGAAATCAGCAGTAAATATTTGGGGTTGGGTTGGACAATAAGGTACTCAAACTTGTGGAAGACACTAAAAAGGAGATTTTGTCTGTGCACCAAAATGGCGGATGGGACTGTGGGCAGAATTATACATTATATGTAGTTCTATAATCCTATTAACAGACTTCTCTTTTCTGTTCATTCACTGATTGCAGCCACTGTAGCTGTATTTTCAAGGGGGAAACTATTTCTCAGGAAGAGAGGTTTTTTAACTACATCAGCCAATCCCATTTTTCCACCAAAAATCACACAACCCGCCCCCCCCCCTTACCATTGCTGAGGAGGATTCACTGACATGTTAGCTCAGTGTTCTACAGCAGTGAGAAAGCAAACACATTGTTAGAATTCTGAAAAGGGACTGAAAATTAAAAGTATCACAGTGTTATCATATAAATCTGTGGTATGGCTGAATTTATATATGATAACTTTTTAGACATCTGATGCCAAACTAGAGCTGCATCCACATATCATTAGGTATTGCACTACCATTGTGCTATAGGAATCATTCACAACTGGGAAGAAGCCATGCTTCGGGCTGTTTTGACATCAACAGGGTGATGCAAGGAGTATTGCAGGGGTCCCCAATCCTTTTGAGCTTGCAGACACCTTTGGAATTCTGACAACAGGTGAAGCAGGCAGCCACAAAGTGGCTGTTGCAGGAGATAGAGCCAGCCACAAAATGGCTGCCATAGCTTATCTTCAGTCACACAGGGAAGATCCTTGTGCTGTAGTTGGCAGCTGCTGCCAAAGCAACATTGTTAAAAATCTGCCCAGCCAGTCAAATATTTAATAGCCAATCAGAAGCCCTGCTTGGCAACCCCCCCGTCCCGTTCTAAAAACACTTGGTGGGCACCAGGAAACGTGTTGGTGGGTATCATGGCACACACAGGTGCCACGTTGTGGACCCCTGGCATATTGCATGCAGCACTGGTTCTTCTTCTTCTTTTTTTGGCCCCCCGGAGGGGATTTTTTTATTGCTTTTTTAATTGCACTACAAACTACAAAGAAATAAGGGAAGGGAACTACAATTAAGGAGAAAGTAAAGATAACCACTACTGACTAAAAACCCAAGAGAAGTAGATCATTAAAACAGCTTAAGTACAAAATCATTCCTTAAATCGCTGATATCTTTTGAACTTAGTCAGACATGCTAAAATATCTTTTAACACTTAGATTTAACTGTTAGAGAGAAACCCCAGAACATCCCATTATTAAAAACCATATTTTCAAAGGCACAATTCAGAGTCCTTCAGACTTCATTTTTTCTTTTCTTGTCTTTTCTTCAGTTTATATGGACTTTTAGGGGCAACCGCCCCCTTTTCAGAAAGAGAGTCCTCTTCAGAAGACCCCGAGTCCATCTCGCCACTGGACTTACTGTCCTTCTCCTCTTTATCCACCTCCTCTGGCTCACCCAACTGGATTCTCAAAAAGTCCTGTGCTTTGGAAATAGAGTCAATCTTTTCTTTTTTATCCTGAAGTTTGAAGGTTACACCCTCTGGATATAACCACCGGTAGCTAATTGCATTTGTTTGAAGAAAAAGAATTAAATCTTTATATTTCTTTCTTATTTCGAATGGGATGTCTTTCAGAATCCTGATGGT